CTGCTTTTTCTGTCTTCCAATACTCTCATTTTGACTTGAAAATTGTTCTTCATTACCCGTCAGACCAGTCTGCAGTTGTAGGTGCTGGATTTGTAGCGCCTACATATGAAAGACTGCATGTAGGCGCTTATTTGAGCTGGAAATTGAATGTAGGCGCTTGGAAATCATGCCTACATGTCATTTTTTGAATGTAGGTGTAACCAAATGACGCCTACAGGGGTTCTTTAAGATGTAGGCTTCATTTTGGATGGTTCTGAGCGCCTACATCATAATTGTAGGTGCTTTTTTGTGGGAAACACCCATGTAGGTGCTGTTTTGGAAGCTCCTACATGGTTTTCTTACAGGCTGCAAATAGCAAAGGCCTTTCTTTACTCAACTCCAACAATCACTTTATAGGAGGTTATCTTTGGGATGATGTTTCTGTTTTTTTCGATGGTCATTATGTGGGGATGCTTTTTTGCTTGTTGTTTTGAAGAAAATTGTAGCAATAATCCTTTTTTTCCTTTTGATTTGGACCCCACTGATTGGATGTTTTTTAATTGGTTTACTTGGTTTTAGTTTTGGTTTTCTCATTATTTTGTAATAAGGACTTGATTATTACTTTTACACTCTTGAGAATTAGTCTAGAGTAGATGTTTGTATTGCAATGCGGGTCTGAGATATAGATATGTCTTGCATCTATGATTACAACACACAATCTTAAACTTCTACGGCAGAAATGCCCACCTCTGCTCTAGTTAGTATGTATTGGGATTACTAGCTGAATAAAATCAATTTTGAGGAGGAAACAGATTTTTTGTAAAATGTTTTTGTGCAACAATTTTCTTTCTGAGGACAATTTTGACTGGCAAGAGACAGAGATGAAAACATGAAAGAAGAAACAATGTGGTCAATTCCGCAGGCCAATATTTATGCCAATCTTTTGTGAGTGGTTTTTGACTTTGCCCCCGTGTGTGAACTCAATTGCTATTCTTTGCCTAGGTCTGCTTCCCACTACCCCCATTCCCTTTAGTCAACACTACGTGCCAACTTTCAATGGATTTCATGTGGTTACCAACTTTGGTAAAACATGCATGATTAATTTTTGTGCTTCAATAAATCACCCCCATGATAGGGGTTGCTCTAATTTGTCATTTTGAAAGAAGTGTAATTTGAGAGAAGAAAGCACTTTGCCTTTGGGCAAATCTAAGATCTGGAATATCTAGTTGTATCTGCAGAGAAATTGTAGTACATGAAAGTGTTTGAAAACAATAGTGCGACATAATAAGTGACTTCCAAATTCCAAGTCGAGAGCAAACAAGAAGATTTAAAAAATAGATGAGTTACTACGCATGGTAATCCAGGCTGCGTTCATCTGCAACCTTCACCTTCATATTATCAAGGTCATAGTCATCCGCAAAGATCGCCTTGTCATTACTGGAAAAGATAACCCCTTTGTAGATTGCAACCCCTGTCAGACAGAAGACGGCCACATATGCTATGATGATGAGCATAGTCATCACAAACTGAACCGCAAAGAACGTTGGAGAGTTGAATGTCTCTCCAAGGAACTTCAGTGACAAGATGAGGCCGACATTCGGAAAAGTTGTCGCCCAGCATCCCAAAATCTCGTCAAGATGTTTGTCTAAAAGTTTCATGTTGAAAGATTCTCAGCCTTCTTGATCCAAGGATTGAAAATCATAAGGGACACTGACGTAAGCGACTCCAATAGGGAATAACGGCGAGGATGAACAGTAAGAAAGCAGTGCCAGTAAGCATGATTCCTACGAAGACACATCCAGCGAACCAAACTTCGCCTGCTAATTCAGAGATAAGCTTGTTGGCCGGTAATCTGTTAGAACAATGAGATTGGATATCAGACTTAAGGAACTCGTACTATAATAATCAGCTTTATAAAATCATACATTGTTCGACACGCTTTTCCCATGTGGAAGAAGACCAAAGCTGAGGAGTTGAGAAAGATGAGGATGGATGTTAGGGTGGCGAAATTTTCGACATTGAGAGCCTCTTTGCCTCTTACTGACCACTGAATCCCTATGTGAACGAAAAATAGTAAAAATCAGTCAGTCAAACAAATTGGCAGTGATTTGATAAGGCTGTGAAGACGTACCGGAGGGCCCACGGCCACGAATGCACCATTTGCCTAGATGGTGACAAGGTTAGGAAGTCACAATCATAAGCGCCTGAAGTGCTTGTCATAGTGTATTGTCGATCACTCACTTGATGACCAGCCATGAATCCAGTGTGCATCAGTCGGAGTAAAAAAATCGACTGCATTCGAAATCAAGACGCGAATTCAATAAACCTGAAGCTAATCATCCTGATTTGAAGAAAGATCGGTTTACCAAGTAGAATATACTCATGAAAGCTCCCCCGCCAAAGCCCAAAAGCCCTACCACAACAACAGTGACGGCTCGGGGGTCAGTTAACGGCACTATACGTAAGACATTGATGGCCACAACCCCTGTAAACATCAACGGGAACACAGGAAAGGCCCATGCTATATCGAGTATATGGTAGGAAATCCAAACAGTAAGATATATCATCCGTACTCCATGGAGACAAATCTTCTCACCGGGTGTCATGCTTCCCAACGCTGCAACGAGAAGAAGTGTGAGCTTAGGATTATGTATCTCGAAATTCAGGAGTTTTCTCACGATCTCTTGGCCTTAAAAACCAGATGGTCATGACAGAGAATGCAACACTAAGAGATGGTGTTAAACCCCGAACATGAAGTCAGCAATGGTGAGTTTTGCAAAGCTATACACTTATTTACTCTTTCGATCACAACTCACACTGATGACATCGCCACATATACCCAAAATATCACATACACCTCCTCGATGGTGAGTCCGGCTGGCACACTGGATAAAGGAAGCATTGTCAGCCTCGCGATCGACATGATCAACACGACGATGTGATGATGACTTACGCTAGATGTTTTTGAAGTGTGTGTATAGGTAAACCAAAATTTGTCAGACCGCGGCGTGCAGCTGACGTGAACCAACTTCACATACCCTGTAACATTCAATCAATAAGTTGCTTCAGTGCGTGCGATTACTTGTAATTCTGATGAAAGGATCTAACATACATAGTTTACAAGCCCCACAATGATGGTGGCGCTGAAGGATTGTATCGAAGTCAGGAACCAAGACAAATGGAAGGTCACTCCCAAAAAACGTACAAATTCAAAGCAAAAGTTGGAATGAACGAGTTTCTATTGGGATCCATGATAACCCGTTTGAATTGTTTCGTGTAAAGGAATGCTATAGTGTGGGAAACGTGGTTGAGGCGGTTTGCCAATGGTGACACAAAACATCAAGTCGCATACCTTGGACCCCCAATAACGACGTTGCAGATATAAAGATGAGGCAATTTAGGATGAAAAGTACGATCTCAAGCTTCGTCACTGTGAAAGCGATTTGTCAGTGTGATGTCGAGAGTTATCTTTAAATTCGTAAAAAGCTGACACCATGCAGGATGCTTCTTCAAGTTGTAGAGCAAGATATAGACCGAAGCCGTTCCTATGATCGGAAAGTGCATCCATAATTATTATAGGGCTCTTATTATAGTCGATAAGCGCTGCCAAAACATGATCCAAAAACTACAGAGACCCAACACTTACCCATACCAAGTGGCTGGAACAGGAATTTCAGAAGCAGAAGACGTCAATGGCTTGAAATACAAGCATAATGAAAAGGGGAAATAACGCACATAGGCCTGCCAGTGAATACCATGAATCATTTTGGAAAGGGCCGACTTTTTCGGAACTACCATCGTAGAAACTCGCCCCGGCCTTCGGGGAGCAGCATCTTGTTGGTCTAGAAACATGCTCAAGAATTCAGATATCGGGAAGATTATAACTCTAAAGTCGCAGAAGGTGTTAAGACAACTGAAGGGCTGGTGATCACAAGACCGCTAGTTTCAATGCAGCTGAGCTCAAGTATTGGTATGTTTGCTATAGCACGGAGGTCTGGATAAAGATAAGATATGAACCAGACGAAGTTGTGATCCTGACCTGAACACCAAGAGTTTAAATTCCACTCGGAAGATTGGACACGGGATGAAGGTGAGAGTGTGCCAAGAGTGAATTTAGAGAACAGGCCGTATTGAACACTGGAATAGTAGGGCCGCGCAGATTTAATCGCTACTTTCAAGTGTTGACGTCCGTCCTCACGGTAAAAATCGGCTCACTTGTCAGTGAAGTAGTGATAGCCAAGCAAAGGATCCTCGCAGAACTTATAACAAAGCCCTCTCTGCGCGGCCGCGCGGACGCGGCCGCGCAGAGAGGGCTTTGTTAAGCTAATCGCAGAACCTAGGCGACGTTTCAACAAGATTTGAAATTTTATTACCCATGCTCGCCCGACCGACCCCAATTGTCAAAAGTCTTGAAGGGGCTTGAAGGGCTGTCAAACCAGCGCGCCGCTCTCGAAATGAGAGTGAGAGCGGAGCACCGGTGGAGCAGGGTAGAGGAGGGTGGAGCGGAGCACAGTCTGACGCTTTGGGATTTTTGATTTTGACCTTTCCCGCGTCCACTTCTCTCACTATTAGAGCATCCCCACCGCGCCGCCGGAAACGTAACGTTTCGCCCTCCACCGCGTCCAAATAGTCCCACACCTGGCCACAGGTGTCAGCAAATTTTGGAAACGTAAGAGCATCGTCACTATAATGATAAGCTTAACTAAGCCCCTCTCGCGCGGCTGCGTCCGCGCCCCTCGAAGAGGGGCTTACACCGGACTCGTGTTTTTTGGCGGGTGAGCTCCAAAAGTTAAGTCCTCTTACGTTGTTTTTTGGACTTCCACTCAGACCCTCACCGTAGAATTTTGTGACCTTTGAGTATGTTTATCTTCATGAGATGCTACACATTCTTGTACCACTTTTATCCACCACTCAGCTCTGTGACGCTTTCAGGGGAAGTTGCCAGATCGGATTGTTATGTCCTCCTGTAACAGCTTAAGAGGGCCTGTACAGGCCTTCCACAAGATTTGGAATTTTTGTGCTCGCCTCAAGCTTATGACAAAATGGAAAAAACTACTTTTCTGACACAATAAAACTTACAGCCTTTTCGGCGAAAACTCGCAGCTACACGTCTCATCAAACTTGCAACACTTTTTGCAAACCTTTGCTTTGAACAAAAACATATAAAAGTTGTACGAGAATGTGTAGCATCTCATGAAGATAAACATACTCAAAGGTCACAAAATTCTACGGTGAGGGTCTGAGTGGAAGTCCAAAAAACAACGTAAGAGGACTTAACTTTTGGAGCTCACCCGCCAAAAAACACGAGTCCGGTGTAAGCCCCTCTTCGAGGGGCGCGGACGCAGCCACGCGAGAGGGGCTTAGTTAAGCTTACTATAATGAATAGGACGATAAGCCCGTCAGTTCTCTCTCCCAAGGAGTCGGCTTCCACACAGTTGATGATATCATTACCTATAATGAATAGGACAATAAGCCCGTCAGTTCTCTCTTCCAAGGAGTCGGCTTCCACTCAGCATGAGCCCCGTTTCCCGCGGGCTCGGGGATCTCCGGCTTCCGTACCGTCGGTACGGTGCCTCGGGCTAGGTATCTCAGCCCCCCGGCACCGTACCGACTCCGACGGAGCGGGGACCGGGCAAGAGTATGAGGATCCCCGGTTTTTATCGGGGAACCGAGCTATAGCAGAGAGCTGTAGAATCGAGGGCAGATAGGGAGAAATGAAAGGTGAGGAAGGCCTCGTAACAACTCATACATCAGTATAAGGAATCAAATACAATGAAATACCTGTACAAAACAGTAGAATATCAGCCGGAACTTGCTCGTGAAGCAGATTTATGAATTTTTTTGATCTAGCAAGCTCTACCGACTAACACTCGACGGGGAACCGACGGGGAACCAATATTTCGGTAGGCCCCCGATTTTCGGTGGCGGGGGACGGTCTGAAGACGTACATGAAGATCCCCGACAGGGAGGGGTCGGCTCGGAAGCCGGGATGCATTTCCAAAAAGTGCTCGGGGTGGATTTTCGCCGGTCCCCGCTCCCGAGCGAGCGGGGCTCATGCTGAGCTTCCACACAGTTGATGATGTGGAAGCTTCCGCCAAGGATCGGAGACTATATCTACTACAAGTCACGTGACTGGCTGAGGCGCAGTCGTGCACGCATACACCTCTCTACAACACCCCCCCACGACAAGCCTCAGACATCCTCATACAAAACAAATAGTAAAACAAAAAAAAAACTAACAGAAAACAAATCGAAAAAATAAAAAAAATCATTGAAGAAAATTCAAATAAATCACGTTGTCAACATCAAATTCTTCTTTCCAGCCTCAAAAAGTAATGGGCCTAGTGCCTTTGTAAGAGTATCTGCCTTTTGATGTTTTAATTCCACCCAATGTAAAGTCACCGTACCCTTAAATAGCTGCTCATTCACATAATAAAATTCTCTATCTGTGTGCCTTGTTCTCTTGTTTGATGAATTGTCCTTTGATACATGAATTGCTGCTGTATTATCACAGAACATTTTTACTGGTCCCATTGCTCCTACCACATCTCCCACTAAATTCCTCAACCAAACTGCCTCTCTTGCCGCCGTACCCAGTTCCATGTATTCTGCATGGCAGGTTGATGTTGCCACACAACCCTGTTGCTTTGAAGTCCAGGCTAAGGGACAACCCAGAAAAAAAGTTGTGTATCCATGAACTGATTTGGAATACTCGCCACCCCAGTTCGCATCAACATAAGTATGTAGACTGGTCTTGACTTTGTTCATTAGAGGTTTCAGATGTAGTCTGACGCAACCGGTTGTCTTTAGGTAACATAGTACGCCTTGGATCACTGCCCAGCGTTGAGTTGTTGGTCAAGCAGAAAAGGGTGCCAGGAAATTTGTAGCATATGTCAGGTCGGGTCTTGTAGCCACTGCAAGGTAGTCCAAACACCCAATTACTGATAAGAATCTAGTCTTGTCAATGTCGTCCTCTTCCTCCACCGGCCATTTTCCACCAGATTATTTTCCACCCCGTGAAAAAATGAAATCCGGTGGAAAATTCAACTTACCCCCCTGGGATTGATTTTTCCACTGTGGCTTTTTCACACCGGATAATCTGGTGTAAAGTGTTTGGTGGAAAAATCTCCCACCCCCTTGACTATCCGTAATGCAAATGGCGAGCTTGCCAATCATGACGTACAAGACACCAAATTAGAGAGAGAAGCTCTTTGGGACACGGAGCACATGAATGGCTTTATACCTGGACATACCAACACCAATCCTTATGCCAATGGAGGTCCTAAGGCATTCATCAACCCCATCACAGGCAAAAATGTTTGCAGATCCAACACCCCCATGAATACTGGCTTGCACTCATACAATGGTAATGCCAGCGGATCTAGTAAACCTAATGCCTGTTCTTGGGCCTACTCAAACCAGCCAGTTTATGATGGACCTGGAGGTGTGGGTGATAATGATGGGGAAGTACTGTTGTTTTCCAAGATACGCCAGGGATATCCCACGGGGATGTACTGAGGGAAGTGGCATCTCACTACCAGTGATACACCCTCCTTGACTCAAGGGGTCTCAAGAAGAATTGAAAACTTTCACTCTAGAATTTCTTTCTTCCCCCACAGAGTCAATTTCCCAGCCTCCAAGGATCACACACCAGGATCGTGAAAACCTCACTCTCTTACTTTCCTAGATTCTGCTCTTCCTCAAATAGAGTGTGCACTAGATAGATGATCATCCCCAACCTACCGGAAGCTCACAAGTGCTGCTCTGATTGGCAAAGTTACTTTGAATGCCAGGTCGCAAGAGCCAAGATGCTACACTGGAGATGACTTCTAGCCACCAGAACAAGACAGGAAACTTTCAAATCTTCCAGATACACTGAGACAACATCTTTCAAGAAGGTAGCCCCATTAATCTTATCTGACCCAGATGGATCTGTTGCTACAGATAAAGAAGAACAAGTCTCCCTACTTTTCCATGGAACATCAGTTGCACATATTGAAGCAGATTTGTCAGATATCCAATCAACCTCTGGGATTCCATCCAAAACAAAACAAAAAACTACCCAAAACTGGAGATTGACACTTTGGAAAGTGATATAACTAGCTCCAATTGAGAAGGCCAAAGGCAAGGACAATATATCCAACAAACTCCGCAAGGTAGCTCTTCCAGTCTTTGAAGAAACACTTTGTGAAATATTTAATGCATGCTTCCAACCAGGCCATCTCCCGGAAGGGTGGCAAAAGGCAGTGACAATTATCATCCAAGGCCTGTTGACACGATGTACACATTCATATTCTTTCACCACTAATATTACATTTACACATTGGTCTTATTCACTCCCACATATTTCATATCTATCTCATTCACAATATCAAATTATTAATATGCTTATACACATCATAATGCTTGTATCTTTCATATATAAACCCATACTCTCCAGAGCCTCTAGTTGCTTGAGTGTTGATCTCGTTTTATTCTTCTCTCAAACTCCATCCTCTGTGCCACACTCTATTTCATCTCTATTCACTTCTCATTCATATTATACATAGAGTGCTGACACTCTTGTACAGTTTGCTTTGTGTGTCATCAGGTTATGATCCCAGCGCCAAGCTGAGGTATCTTGACTGTCAAGAGTTTTTGAATGCAATCATCTGAATCAGCTGATTCAGACAACACCCACTCTCCCACAGCTACTTATCCATTTCCCGCTAGCACACCTGCTAGTGGAGATCTAAGCTCTTTGTCGAACACCTCTGACGACATTCAATCCGAATCCTCGGGTGAAATTCTACAGACTGTACAACTACTACGACCAAACTTGAATTCAACCATGTCTGACTCTTGAGGGGCAATGCTGTCCACTTCTATTCTGGCTATCTTCCCTAAACTATGCACTTGTGACATCCATCACACGGAAAACTATTTGGATCCAGACACATACTCTCAAATGAACTTTTGAGCTGCATCAGAAAAGTCTTGGAAAAGACGCTCACAAATTGGCGGACTTTCTGGGCCAAATTTACTAAGATCATTGAACTAT